TGGGAGCTCAAACCATTTCGGGGACGTTTGCATTTCTTAAAGACGGGTGTAAACTTTGCACCTTTGTACAGATGCAGCGTGTCTTTTCTTTCTCTCTCAGCAGCTGGGACTTGGAAAAGGCGCTGAATTTTGCTTCCTAGCCTCAGTTTCCCTTTCTTTTGTCATTTATAAACTGTCTTTGTTGTTTATTTATTTGTACAAAATAACTCAAGGCACCTGAGAGATCCAGCCCACCTTCGTCCTCCTATTTTCCTTGCAGCAATCACCTGTCAAGCCCAGTATTGACACCTATGAGAGGTGGGTGGGGCGGAGGATGAGGGACGAACCCAAAATCACCCAACTGGCATTCAGGCCTAAGGCAGAACTAGAACTCACCGTCTCCTGGTGATTGGCCCAAAGCCATCCTATTATTATTATTGTTGTTGTTATTATTAGCAATTTTTTTCCCCCAGAGGAAAAAAACTGCAGACTACAGGAACGATTGATTAGAGGTGACCCTGAGGACCAGCGGTGGTATTCAGCCGATTCGGACCAATTCTACAGAACCGGTAGCGGAAACGTTGAGTAGTTCTGGAGAAGCGGCCAATCCCACCTCCGACTGGCCCCGCCAATCTCACCTCTTCTCTGCCTCCCACTGAGTCCCGGCTGATCGGCTGGGTGTCCTTTGGTTGTCCTGCACAGGAGAAGGGAGCTGGAAAGCAGGTCAATGGGGAGGGGGAAGGAATGGTGATTTTGCAGTATATCCTTCCCCTGCCACGCCCACCAAGCCACGCCCACAGAACCTACCCCTGTTCTAAAAGGATGCAAATGACCAGCTGTGTCTGCGAGGAGCATCAATCCTTCCCTTCCCCACCATCCAGTCAGAGCTGAAGAAGCTTCTGGGATGAGAAGAGAAACATCTTCAAAGAAAAACCCAGAAAGTCCAGGTGTCTCTTGAAAAAGCACCTCTGGGACAACCGAGGACACAGACAAACTTCCAAGTGGCCTCAATGACTGTCCAAAAAGGATGCAAATGACCAGCTGTCTGCAAGGAGTATCAATCCTTCCGTTCTTTACCATGAAGTCAGAGCTGAAGAAGCTTCTGGGAGGAGAAGCGAAATGTTTTCAAAAGAAAAAAACAAGAAAGTCCAGTTGCCTCCTAAAAAAGCACCTTTGGGACAACCAAGGATCTGGATGACTGAGACTCTCTGTAGATATTTTACTCTCCTCTCCTTTCTCTTCCTTTCCTTTCCCTTCCTTTCCTTTCCTCTCCCCTCCTCTCTGTTTCTTTCCTTTCCCTTCTTTTTCCTTCCTTTCCTTTCCTCTTCTCTCCTCTCCCTCCCCTCCCTCAAAGGTGCTTTTTTTTCAAGAGTCAAACGGACTTTCTGGTTTTTCTTTGAAGACGTTTTGCTTCTCATCCTAGAAGCTTCTTCCGCTCTGACTGGATGGTGGAGGAAGGGAAGCTTCTCAGATGAGAAGCAAAACGTCTTGAAAAGAAAAGAAAAAAAGAAAAGAAAAGAAAAAAATGAAAAGAAACAAAAAGAAAAGAAATGAGGAGAAACGAAAAGAAAATAAATGAAAAGAAACGAAAAGAAACAAAAAAACCAAAAAGAAATGAAAAGAAACGAAACAAAAAAAAAAGGAAAGGAAAGGAAAGGAAGGGAAAAGAAAGGAAAGGAAAGGAAAGGAAAGGAAAGGAAAGGAAAGGAAAGGAAAGGAAAGGAAAGGAAAGGAAAGGAAAGGAAAGGAAAGGAAAGGAAAGGAAAGGAAAAGGAAAAGAAAAGAAAAGAAAAGTCCAGTTGCCTCCCGAAAAAGCCCCTTTGGGACAACCAGGACCTGGAGGATGGAGAATTTCTGCAGACTTTTTCCTGCAAGCTGCACAGAGTCACCGTGAGGGAAGAGGGCAGCCGTAACAATTTTCTCAATAACTAATAAATTAATAAAACACCTTCTTCTTCCTCAAGTGGCTTCCCTTCTGTTTTGTGCGCATCGCCAGCAAGGCGCTGATGCAATTGTTGATCGTCTTCTCTCTGCCCTCCTTCGGGATCCTTTGGGATCCAAGTCAACGCTCCGCCCTCCGAACCGAAGTCCCTAATCGGTGACTTCATTCCGCGGCTCTGGGGCCAAATCCGTTACGAGCCGAGCCCTCAAGCAGCTCAACTCAAGCCAACTTCAAGGCCTGCAATATCTGTGAACACCACGATGTAACTTTCTAAAGAACTGCTGCGGCACCGAAGAGCATAGATAATGCTCTAGAATTGTCCGGGTTCTAGATTCCTGCCCCCTTCAAAGTAAACATTCAACGGAGGGCCGGCAATTTGACAACATGTGGGCTCTGCGGAGTTCCCTGAGCTTGGTGCTTTCCTTCTTCTTTTTAAATATATATATATATATTTTATTGTTTACAAATGTAAGCATCAAAACGCAGTGCAATCGTCTTGGCATTACTCTGCCATACATACTAGAGTATTACTAAACAATTAACATTCATATTATTTGTACAATATTGCTTTTGTTACAGTTGTTTTGACCCTCCTACTCGATTAAATCCTCTATCATATC